ATTGTCGTAGAGCGCGACATTTCATGTGCAAAACGATATCAGTTTCTAGTTTTCTTTTTACCGTATTATTATATTAGAGAATACGTAAGTACGGATATTTTGTATGAGAAGTTCGGACATCCTAGCGGTAAGATAATAATGAAGCCTACTCATGTATTATTCATGCTGTATTTTTTTTATACATTTCATGTTCATTATAGTTCTCATTTCTGCTTCATAAAAATATTTAATTATGTTAACATGCCATACTACATTCATGATCTGTTGACGTGTTGAGAGCCTTAGTAGTTCATGATTTAGTAGCCTTGTGCGTCATGAACAGACTTAGTGACATGTGTGAGTTTAGGCGGTGAACCCGAGTTTTCAAATGTGATTATGATTAACTTAGAAAAACAAGAAGAGTTGGGATGGGAAAGTCAGTGTTCGTGTGATCGGATAAGACTGTTGATGTATCTTCCAGACTCACACCAGTGAATCGTTTCGTACTGGCGCCACCGGGGTTGGTTTGTAGGGCTAAAGTGAAGTGTGTACATCACTTTAGTCAGTGGAATCGTTTCGTCACCCGAGTTTTGCTTGAGTCCGGACCAGGCAGAAAACGGTTTATGTGTAGTCCCTTGGCCGCATGTGTAGCGGGATTGGATGCACGTAGGGGGTTTGTGAACAGTCAGTTATCCGATGACAGGAGCGTTGGCTCTGTGTGAGATGTGGACCTCTGAGCTTTAGGTTGGTTAGTATTTGACCTAGTTATTGTGTTCACGTAGCTGTATGTAACTATTCGATTACCAGTTGCATGTATCATTGTTTTTCCTGTTAGTATTTCTATTGTTATAGTATGGGTCGTTAGACCATTTTATTGTTCATGTGAGATCTTGCCGAGTGCCATGCACCCTGACGTACACCTGTTTTCTCTGGTGTGCGATGTGAGATCTTGCCGAGTGCCATGCACCCTGACGTACACCTGTTTTCTCTGGTGTGCGTCAGACTTAGAAGACGAACATGTTCAGTTCGATGATGCAGCCGAGCCAGTGTATGCCCAGCCGGAATGTCCTTCGGATGGAGTGGAAGATCAACCTGAAGCCTAGACATGTTTTTCTTTTCTGCAGTAGCTGATAAACATTAGAACTCTTTATAGTATTGTCCTTAGTTTGATTATTTTACCAGTATTTTTCTTTTATCATAGACTATGTGTTTTTATTCCTAGTTGGACCATTTTTGTAATAAGGGCACGTTTGACCCATATTTTTATGTCTGGGATGATTTACTGTGGATGATATGTTTATTTCTTATTCTGGATTGTCTTTATATTCTTACTATTGTGATCGGGGACCTGTGATTAAGATTTACGTATTTGACGCTTAGCGTATTAGGTTGAGAAGAAAGAAAAAGAAAAAAAATATAGTGTATATTTCTTCTCAATCTAATACGTCGCGGGCTTGTTCGCGTTCTGATTCCCGGGTATTTTGGAAGCGGGGCGTGACACTCAACGCGGTGTCCTTCCTTCTTGCAATATTTGCAAGAGAGCTTAGATCGAGCCTATGGAGAGGGAGCCTGTGGAGAAGTATGATTCATAACAGGAGCAGTGATAGGTACAGACAAAATAGTCTCGAGTGAAGAGGTAGGAGTGTCTGTTGACAAATTGAGTTGTGTTGTCTGCTGTCGGGTCTCATAAGCAGTGAGAGCTCCCATAACTGAGGCCAAAGTTGGAAATTGAGGCTGATGAAGTAGTTGATCAGCCATAGTTGAATATTCAGGAAGGGACTGAAACAGTTGATGCACCTCATGCCGTTCGTACCAGGCTAGCCAGACTTCATATGTGGAATTACGTCCAGGAAGCATGGAGCGTAACTCTGTCCAAAAAGCTTGCATTTGTCCAAAATGGGACTGCAGAGATGAACTACATTTGCCTTGTAGAGCAATGCGTTGCAGAAGATATGCCTCCCGTGTACCCGAGCACTCAGTGAAACGCTCAGTGAGACGAGTCCACATGGCCCGAGCAGAGGGAAGCGAGCCAATATCGACAGTAAGACCAGAGCCAACACAGCGAGTGAGATAATCCATGACACGAAATTCCTGCAATTGCCACTCTGAACTCTCCTTGACATAGAGAGCACGAGCAGTCTGAAGATTGACATCACCACTGCCAGAGGCAATAGTACTGGATGAAGCAACAGTGCTGATGGACGGTAGAACCGGTCCCGTACTGGTGAGATGATCAAGAAAACCAGCGCCACGCAAGGCATTGGTGACAATGGTGGACCACCCTGCCCAGTCACTTTAATCATTGAGGGGTAAAGGTGGTTTGGGAATCTTCTCTGAAGGAGCCATAACAGCAATGTTAAGACGTTAAGACGTCGAGATGTCGTTACTGACTGCGAAACAGCAATGTCGTTCGTTTGAGGCCGAGAGACGGCTTGAAACGACGATGCCGTTAATTTGAGACCAAGAGACGGTCTTGAAACGGCAATACCGTTAAAATAGAACCCGAAGGTTAGAATGAAACCCGAAGGTTTAAAATAGAACCCGAATGTTAGAATGAAACCCGAAGGTTAAACGAGAACGCGAAACGCGTTAAGAGGCCGCAAAGCGACAAGGCCAAAATATCTGGCAGATGAACGCCAAAAAATAAAAATAAAAATAAAACATTAAACGGCTGCAAAGCAACAAGGCCAAGATTTGGCAAAAGAACGCAGAAGCGTTAAAAATTTTATTGGAAGGGAAATAGCCCTAGCTCTGATACCATGTTAAAGTAAGAGAGAGAGAGAGAGAGAATCTTGGGAAGTTTTCCCTTAAATTGAATATTGAGTGTGCACATATATTTATACAAGTAGAGGAGTGTGAGGTTTGTTCTCCCAATCAATGTGGGACTAAAACCCACTGCAATACACTATTATCAACAATATATATATATATATATTAAAGTAAGAGAGAGAGAGAGAGAGAATCTTGGGAAGTTTTCCCTTAAATTGAATATTGAGTGTGCACATATATTTATACAAGTAGAGGAGTGTGAGGTTTGTTCTCCCAATCAATGTGGGACTAAAACCCACTGCAATACACTATTATCAACAATATATATTCTCTTCTCTTAAGAAAACTTACAAACTATATATATGATCTGATAATATGATATGCAATGTAATATATATCAACTTTGCAATATGCATGATAAAGTAAACAAATTATGCATCCCTTTTCTGAATTAAGAGTTACTTGGAATCGTTGATGAAGCTTTACATCTGCATTTAGATTTCTTGACTAAAAGGTCTCAATGAGCTACCATTCCGCCCAATTGACCATGCCTTCTATTAGACTACTAAAAGGTTAACAATGGCTTAGCATGACTTAGGATATTCTCTCTTTATACATAGACTAGTGCGCACACCGTATGCTTGTATAAAGCATGACCTTTTTTATATTTCCGCTACAATAATTCTTTTTAAATATTACAGTTTTTTTTGTAAATGTTGCGGTAACTTTTAAAAATGCTATAGTGTTATGTTTTGTGCTACAGTAATTCGTTATAGCATTCACTGTAACATGAATAGTGAATCTATGGATCCTCCTATAAGTATAGAGGAGTAGATACATTCATATAATGTGCCAATGTAAAGGAAAAAGTAGTATATCTGTTTGGACAATGCAAGTGTACTATATACGAGAGTTGTACTGCTTTTATATTACTATACAAAAAGATAAGGTCCACATCAACTTAAAACTTGGCTTTGTAATTCATACTCCCTTTAAAAGCACGAGTTCAGGAAAATCTTTCTATGATCAATATAACCATTCGCTATTTTAAATAGAGCTTTACTACAGGGACCCAAACTATGAGACCACCAGAGGAGACAGGTGAGGTGTCCCACTCCTATTGCATAATGAGCTGGACATCATTAATGATAGTCAGCTCATTATGTAATAGGAGGGGGACACATCATATGTCCCCCCTGTCAGTACCATATTTTGGATCCTTGGAGAATTTTTTATTTATATCTTAATCTATCTTAATCCTAATTATATCATATCCTAATCCAACGTGAACTATCTGTAGCTTAATAATTTAAAAATAATATTAATAAAATATATAAAATATCTTTATGGTATTAGTTTGTTAAGATAAAGAAATTATATGTAGCTAACATACTATAATACATAAAGTATTGCAAAAAACCAAAAAAAATTTAAAATTGCATAAAATACCCTAAAATGTTTAAAATTATAAAAACTATTTCGACGTCTAAAACCTTAAAATAACAAACATGAAATTAAAAAATTAACAGCGAAGAATTTAAAACTTGCAGATAACATCTCATTATCTCAAAAATTATAGAAACACCCACAAAAGTTTAAATTATAAACAAACACCTGAAATTCTAAAATTTTAAGACTTACAAACAACATAGATGAATTTAAAGAATTACCATAATGCACCTAAATTTTTTTGATATTTTAAATTTAAAATAACAAACATGAAATTAAAAAAATTAATAGTAGCCTCCAAAAAATTTAAAATTTTTAATTAACACCCTCAATGTTCCAAAAATTATGAAAACTCCCTCAAAGTTCAAATTATAAAAAACAACCCTAAAATTATAAAAAATTCAAAATTTGTAAACAACAAAAGATGAATTTAAAATATTACCCTTATGCACCTAAAAATTTAAAATTTACTGAAATTAATCTCAAAGTTACAAAAGTTGTAGAAAAAACTCTTTCAAAATTTAAAAATTATAAAAAACTCTAAAATTTTAAAATTTATAACCAGTACAC